TCTCTGGACACTGTAAGAGCCTCCCGTCCTTACAATCCATTCTTCATGGGACCGCCATTGTGATCTTTCAGACATGTAAAGATGATCAGGTTATTGCCCTGCAAACTCTCCAATGGGCTGATACCTCAGATACAATCAGCCTCCTTATTGAAGCTTACAAGGCACAGTAAACATTCTACAAATGTTTCTTGAATATTGTTAAATACATACACAGAGGGGGAAACGTCTGAAAAACTGAATACCAAACTGCAGTTATGTTTACTGTTAACTCGTTCAATGGCAACTTTTATAATTAAGAAAAAAGTTATTTACATTTTGTAAAGAAGGAGAGGGAGAGAAGGCTAATAAGAAAAGAAGGACATCTGTTTCCAGGTAAACTCTACTCTAAAGACCAGTTATTATTATTTTTGTACTGTTTTCCTCTCCTAATTCAAGCAGATTTTCACTTACTTGTCTTGCAAAAGGTTAGTAGCAAGAAAGAGAACAAAAAAAGATACTTTTTACCTCACGGCTTTCTTTTTTTCAAAGAGCAAAACCCATTGAGGAAAATAGGGCATGCTGACAGGAAAGTGCCTCAGATGGAAGGTGAGCAAGGGATTTCCTTCTAGAAGAGAAAAAGGCCTTACGTTAGGGGGAAGAGAGATCTAAGGTGCCTTGGAAGAAAGGCCATGTGCAGCCTTGGGAAGCTGGGCACCTAGATTCTGGGCCCAGGGCTCCCAGTTTTATAGGTTTCAGGGTTCCAAGAGCCAAAGGGAAAGTGAAAGACCACAGCAGTCTCAGTGGAACCAATGTAGATAATTGTCCAATACAATATGTTGGCCCTGCATAAGACCCAGATCTTGGCACAAGTTCACAGGGCATGAGGGAGATCAGCCCAGAATGGCAGAGACTAAATTTCCTGCCAGCTCAAAAGGCTGGGTGTCCAGAGCCAAAATGAAGTTGATTTATAAAAGCAAAAAAAGTTATATTTCTTGAATGCCTTCCTTTGTGTCTTAAGACTTAAACCCACTATCATCTTACACAAAAATATGCAAAGGATACACCACTTTCATAAATGAGTACTGATTCAATGTCATTCCTGTAATATTGTCACTCTTACTCACATGTATTACATGCATTCCAGTATGCTTTCCTAGGGCAAAAAGTGGAGGGCAAAGGGTGGAGCAATGACAGTGCCGGTGTTGTCCCAGCGAATGCATCTCATCCAAGCTTATCAGCTAGTACACGTTTCAGTGGGCAAATGCCTAAGAACCAGTTCTCTATGTCTGTTCCATTCTGACTTAACTACAGTTTGTAATTACAGTTTGTTATTTGCAGTAACTAACCAGGCCTACTTCAGAACCTTGGACATAGGGAAATGACATGGCACAGTGGTTGAGAGCACAGGTTCTTAGCTAAAACTGGGATGGAAACTAAGTTCTGCCAGTTATGTGATATCGAGCAAGTTTCCTAATCCCCCTGTTTTCTTATCTGGGGATCATTCTTACTTGAGGGGGTTGGTGAGGAGTAATTGTGTTCATTTTAAGGTGCTTAGCACAGTGCCTGTCACATTGTGGGTTTCTATTAAATGTTAACTGTTACTACTAGATTTTATTATAGTAGGCACTTAGAAAATGCTGAATGAACGAATGAATGAATGAATGTCTTACCCTCTGGTCCCTCAAGAGCAGAAAATTATACAAAAAATTGACCAGATTATTCTCTACTTAGGTGCTGTTCCAGACCAAATTCTGCCACACCTTATTTTTGCTATTAAGACACATATATTATATTCAGGCCAGGCACAGTGGCTCACACCTGTAATCCCAACACTTCGGGAGGCCAAGGCAGGCAGACTACCTGAGGTCAAGAGTTCGAGACCAGCCTGGCCAATGTGGCAAAACCCCGTTTCTACTAAAAAATACAAAAATTATCTGGGCGTGGTGGTGCACATCTGTAATTCCAGCTACTCAGAAGGTTGAGGCCGGAGAATCGCTTGAACCTGGAAAGTGGAGGTTGCAGTAAGCAAAGATCGCGTGCCACTGCACTCCAGCCTGGGCAACAGGGTGAGACTCCATCTCAAAAAAGAGAAACAAGACACATACATTCAGGTACTTCTCACATACACTGAGGCATTAGCAAGGTGCTACATAGAGTCATGCCTGCTGTCCCACTTGGTGACCAATAGTCAACATTAGCAAAAACTTTGACCATGATGAGGAATATAGGTTATGGTTATACCAAAAAAAATTATTCTGGAAATGGTGTTTTCTGTGGCACTCAATCTTTCACTTTTGGACTCAGGTAGTATTAGAATAAGTCAATTCTGGGAATCATGGGAAATCAATAAATTTGTTGTCTTTCTTCTGGGGATGTATTTAAAATAACCCTCAGCCAACAACTCAACAGAATGACCAGCTGGACAGCAGCCATTTGAAAATGCTCCAATTTCAAGAAATTGTGTTGATAAATCACTTTCCAAATATTCTCTAGAAAAATTCCTATGATGAAAGAAAAATGAAGCATGTATTTATCATCAGTCCCTCTATGTTGCCTTCCCACTAAAATTCAGAACAAAAGTCACAAACATGCCGTATTTTCTCAGATCTTTACACAGTGCCCTGAACATGGAATGTCCTCCACACCTCCCATTTCACCCAGCCCCGTAATCCCAGCGAGTCACAGCTGTAGAGTGCAGAGATTAGTAGTTGAATTCAAATCCCAGCTCCACATTCCCAGACTGAATGACATCGGGCAAAGTTATTTAACTTCCCTGTTAATCAGCTTCCTGTAGGGATGAAGATTACACCAACCTTGTGGGCTCTGGAAAAATTAAATAGCTTAATATTTGGAAAATGCATAGAATAGGGCAGTTCTGGCACATAGTGAGCATTATATAAGTTGTGTCATTATTGTCCTTCAAGTCCTAGCATCAGTTTCACAGAAACCTGAAGGTTTGTTCATTCCTCTGGGCAGGGTTATGCACCTCCTTCTCCATGCTTGTACTTGTCTCTACTGTAATATGTAGCACATTCAATTACAAAGGTTAGTGTATACGTCTCCTTTGCCACTATGCCAAAGTATAAGGAGTACAAAGGCAGTCATTTTACCTCTTTTTTTTTTTTGGAGATAAGGTCTCACTCTGTTGCCCAGGCTGGAGTGCAGTTGTGTGATCTCGGCTCACTGCAATCTCTGCCTCCTAGGTTCAAGCAATTCTCCTGTCTCAGCCTGCTGAGTAGCAGAGACTACAGGCGCATACCACCATGCCCGGCTAATTTTTATATTTTTAGTAGAGATGGGGTTTCACCATGTTGGTCAGGCTGGTCTCAAACTCCTGACCTCAGACGATCTGCCCACCTCGGCCTCCCACAGTGCTGGGAGCATGAACCACCATGCCCAGCCCATTTAACCTTTAGAGTCTTCAAGTCTTACAACAGAGCTGTGAACATGGCAGATGCACAATAAATATTTAGTTAATGTATGAAAGCATTAATTAAATACTATTTAAGCTTTTCAAGCTTCTCATGAAGTATTTTCCTCTCCTTGTATGAAACTGTTGAGTAATGGCTATTTCTGTAGCTGCTTCTAAAGCCAAATGAGGAAAGGTTTTGAGCTATCTCAGAGACTGTACAGTACGATAATCATTGGTATCATAAAAATTCATTATGAGCCCTGTTAACAGAGTGGATAAATATCCTTGCTGGGACAGCAGTGTCTTGGCCCAGTAAGTGTCATCTATAGAGTGGACTCTTAGAGTTTCCTCAGGCAGCTCTCCAGCAGTGCATCCCTCCACCATTGCTGGGATATGGGACATGTCACAGCTCCCAGAAGAGATCTCCCAGTGGCTAGTCACAGTCAATCTGCAAACAGAGAAGGGTTTTGGCAAGAAAGTGATCCAAGGAGACACTGAAAATAGCAAGTTCGCTGAAGGCCAAGGGAACTTCCCCTTGTGAAAGTAAGAAAGGATGATGAAATAAAAAGTTTACTGGCAGTGAAAAGAAAACATCCTGTCTGAGTTGAATTGCAAGAGGGGAGTCAGGGAAGGCTCCAGCCACCTTGGAAAGGCAGCGTGGAGCAGCAGGGAAGCCACCAGATTTGGAATCCGAATGGTCAAGTCTCCGTTCTTCCATTTGATGAGCGCACTTTCTCCTCTTTAAAATGGAGACTCAGCCTGGTGCAGTGGCTCACGCCTGTAATCCCAGCACTTTGGGAGGCTGAGCTGGGTGGATCACCTGAGGTTGGGAGTTCAAGACCAGCCTGACCAATATAGAGAAAACCTGTCTCTACTAAAAATACAAAATTAGCCAGGCATGGTGGCGCATGCCTGTAATCCCAGCTACCAGGGAGGCTGAGGCAGGAGAATCACTTGAACCCGGGAGGCAGAGGTTGCAGTGAGCCAAGATCGCGCCATTGCACTCCAGCGTGGGCAACAGGAGCGAAACTCCATCTCAAAAAATAAAATAAAATAAAATAAAATAAAATAAAATAAAATAAAATAAAATAAAATGGAGACTGAAACAAAGAAAACTGTGAAGCACAATATGAATGTAAGAATTTATCCTGTGTTGTTAGAAAGGCCCCTACACACAGGAATTCACAGAAAGGGTTCCCACCCTGAACAGAGGTCTTTCCATCTTCTCCACTGGAGGGCTGAAAGGGATGTTTCTGCCTCCTTTTCATTAAAATTAGCAGGTTCTTAAGAAATGAGGGGGGACAACAGGATTGGAGGCTTTCATGAGACAAAATTGACTAGGAATTTGCTTAGGAATCTGCTTTTGGGAGGCACTGTGTAAACCCGCACAGTGTGACTTAGAGCCTATGAGGAACTTTCTTATGTTAGGCTCAAACATTAAAGATGCAAACTGCCTGTGGTGTGATGCTGGAGCTGCTGTCCCCACCTAGCAAGAACAGACTGTGCACATCTCTTCCCAACTCCTTGAAATCGGCCCTGGTACAAGTGTTTACCTCATGGTAATTGACAAATGCTACAAATCAGGGTGTCTTTTCTTCTCTGTCTCCAGGAGCTTGCTTATGAGCACACCTCTGACTGAGGTCCACAGGACTCAAGATTCCTCCAGCCATCACTCTCCACTACAAATGCCACAAAAATGAAAGTTTGACCACACACACACATAAGTACTAGATGGGAAACACTGAAGAGATACACCATGAGGAGGGAGAAAAAACAAAAAGCCAAAAAATCTTAGTGTATCAACTGCACATTCCTACCACATGGAGATCTGGCAATGAAGTGTCTTGAGGATTTTGGGGTTTTTTTTTTTGTTTGTTTTTTAAACTAAGAATAACTGTAATATGCCAGAGAATTTTGAATCAGCCTTATCTGTAGTCTCAAATGAATATACTCAAAAGTCATATTATAGCAGAAATTCAAATATCTTGATTGCATATTGAGGATAATATAATGGTGGAACAACTAGTTTGTCAAATAGGTGATCAGGATGGAATAAAAATGCATTCTTGGTTGTCTTCTATCCCAATGAGCTAAAGTAATATTGCATTTATAACTTTTCAATACATTATGGTCATATTGTTTCCTCATGCATGTTTTATTTGTTCTTTTTATAGCTTAAATGAATTGTTCCTTTTCTTCTGGAACTCTAAACATTATGCTAGGTTTTCAAGGCTGGTGCTTGTGATAGGGGAAGAGAATAATGCCTGTGTGTGTAAGGTGCTTGATGTTTCTCAGAGGCCTTTCTTATATGCAATCCTCATTTAATCTTTATACACACCCTCCAAAGCAAGGCATACCCATTTTTAGACAAGGAAAAAGACACTCACATGGTAAGAAGAGCTACTGGAATCTGGACCCTGCTGTCATTATTGCTCCTGGACATTAGATGCTGACTGTTATAGCCATCGATAATGCTGCCACTAGAATGATGGTCAAATTATCTCTACTTCTTTGCATCATTCTTATAGTCATAAAATTCAAGACAAGAACGTCTGCTTAACCGAGCTTAGGTCTCATGTACATGCACTAACTGGCAAGATTTCAAGTGAACCAGCACCTTGTCTTTTTTGGGCTTCTGCTGTGAAATGAAAATCCTTCATCTAACAAGACACAACATGATACATTCTCCAAACACAGGAGGAAGTTTAAATTCAGAAGAGTAGATTTTATTATTACCATTATAGTGAGCATCTATTCTACCCATGGGAGCCTATCATCTTTTGAGTCTTTTCTCTATATTTGGAGACATATCCAAATTATGAGTTGCTATATAGGAGTCATAGTGCAAATTTCCAGCTGCCCTTGCAGCTAGGATTCAGGCACATGAATTAGTTGGTGTGAATCAAGGACACCATATCATTATAAGATTTTGATTCAAGGCCAGCTGCAGTGGCTCATGCCTGTAATCCCAGCACTTTGGGAGGCCGAGGCAGGCAGAAGACTTGAGGTCAGGTGTTTGAGGCCAGCCTGGCCAACATGGTGAAACCCTGTTTCCACTAAAAATACAAAAGTTAACCAGGGATAGTGGCAGGTGCCTGTAATCCCAGCTACTAGGCTGAGGCAAGAGAATTGCTTGAACCTGGGAGGTAGAGGTTGCAGTGAGCTGAGATTGTGCCACTGCACTCCAGCACTGGCAACAGAGTGAGATTCAAAAATAAAAATAAAAAATAAAATAAATAAAAAATAAAATGACACTAATTTATTTTAAAAAATGTTTTTGATTCAGAAGGAAGCAATAAGAAGAAAAAGGCTCTGCAGAAAAGGGACCTTGTATCTTTGCAAATTTGCTGGTGAAGGGGAGGCAGAGGTATCTGGTTTTTTTGTGGTGGCTCTTTCCCAGGGATTACAATAGGGTATTTTGGACACAAAAGCAATAACTGTGGAACAGCAGCATTTTTCCATTAAATTTGTTGTTTAGTTTGGGATATTGTTCCTCAAGGCTTATTCTCAAGCCCAGTTTTCTAGTTCACTCAACAGTCCTGTGATCCACACAATATTTTGAAATAAAACGCTTTTCTACTGATTCAACAAGAATCAGCATCTGTTGTTTGGAGCCAAGAACTTTGATTAATACAGTTATATTTCCTATCTCTCAGATGTGGAAACTTATGTTTTGAAAGGTTAAATTGCTCAAGATGACAAAGTCAGTCAATGACAGGGCAAAGATTTGTACCTGGACTGTCATAATCTCAAGCCCATATTCTGATGCAAAAAGAGTATACCATAAGGTCATAAAACTAATGAGTTGTGCTTGAGATTTTTGTTTTAAAGTTAGTATAAATTATAGAAGGATCTAGTCTAACCTAAAGCTCTGCATAATAAAATATCAAGTGGAGTCCACAACCCAAATCTTCTGCTATGTAATCAAATGTGCTTTCTGTGATGCTTCACATCATCATAATCCTATCACATTTTGCTTTATGTATTTTGAGACTAATTTTTAAGTGCATTTGTGTTCAAGAATATTATACAGAGAAGAGATTACCATTATTTCTTGCATCCAACACCTCTCTGTATTCAATTTCCATCTCTTACTGAAGTATATCTTTTAATAATTCTTTCAGCCAGGGTCTATTTTTGAATTATTTATCAGAAAAAAAAATGCCTTTATTTTTGCCTCATTCTTGAATGATGCGTGTTTTCTGGATAGTATCTTTAAAAGATGGGCATGTATGCCCCTTCTGCCTTCCTTGCAAACTCTCCTGCCCCTGCGCCTGCCTGCGATACAGACATGAGAGACAGAGCTAAAGTAGCCATATGGGATCCTAAAATAGAAGCCACAGATGGAGAATAACAGAGCCACTCTACCAGCTCTTGACATCTGGACTGTCACTTGGGAAAGAAATAAATTTCTATCTCTTTTAAGCTTCTGTATTTTGGGGTCTGTCCTTTAAGAAAAAAACAATGTCTACTATGTCTTAACAGTTGTATCCCTGTTTGCTCTGCTCTCTTCTTTCCTTATGCCTTCCTCAATATAGATGTGTAGGGTCCCCTGGTACACACTCCCAACCCCCACCTTCACTTTTATTTCTGGGTCTTAACCAAAAACCACAGAGTGCCTTGACTGCTATGTGACCTGGCCAGCTGCAGTTTTTTTCCCAGCGAATTTGAACCCTAACCAGGGCCTTGAACATCCCCAGGTACTGATACAGGTATCTAGGCTTACTAGAGAGAAACTGGCCCTGAACCTGAGCCAAATTCCTTAAACCTTCATATAAACTCCACACCCTGACCCCCTTACTGCTGACACACCTAGGTAGAACATCCCTTTCCTCTCGCTGTTCATGGGAAGGATTGCTGTAGCCCACTCTGTACACAAATTCCCAATAAATGCTTTGGACTGGTCACCCTGGCATTTAGTGCTCCTTTCTTTGGAATCTCAACCAGCCCCATCTCAGGATGGTTTGGGGCACTCACTTGTGAGAACTCCCCGGTACTGCTTTTGGGGTGACTCCAGTCACCAGTTGGGTAAGACAAAACAATAAATGTGTGAATACATGAATGCACATGACCTCCTCTTACTTCAATTTCTCCTCTTTATGTCATATTTTTCTATCCCGTTATTTCTCTGTGCTTCTGTTTGGGTGATTGCCTTAGTTCTTTCTTCCAGTTCACTTGCTCTCTTCAGAAGTCTAATCTGCTATTTAACATGTCCCTTTGAGTTGTTAATGTCAACAAATATATTCTTAATCTCTACACTTTCTTTCTGGTTCTTTTACAAATAAACCTGGTCTTTTTTAACGACAAAATATTCTTCTGTTTTATTCCTTCCTTTATGTCTCTGACATTTAAGAGATACTTGCATTAGGCCAAATGTTTATATTCCCCCACCACAAAAAAAATTCATATGTTGAAATCCTAATCCCCAACATGATGGCATTTGGTAGATTCACGTCTTTATAAAAGAGCCCCTCACCTTTATAAAAGAGCTCCCTCACCCTTTTCGTCATGAGAGTACATAGCAAGAAGACGGTCCTCTATGAACCAGAAAGAGCGCCCTCATCAGAAACCAAATCAGTGGGCCACTTGATCTTGGACTTCCAGCCTCCAGAACTGTGAGAAATAAATGTCTGTTGTTTGTAAGCCACCCAGTCTATGGTATTGTGTCATAGCAGCCCAAACACACCAAGACAATACTTATTTCATAGCCTCATTCAGAGTTTTTAAATTAACCCAGTTCTTGGATTGCTGATTTCCCCATTTATTTTATCTTCAGGTTTCCCTTCGGGTAATTCATTCGGTTCTTAGTTTTGTATTAACAGTTCATCTTTAGCAGGGCTGGTTATCCGACCACACACCTGTGTACCTAAATCGTAGAAACAGCCCAACATGGCACTTTGTTTCCGGTGAAATTCTAAGGATTCCATTGTCCTGGACCAGATTTCATGGTAATTTCTTAGAATGAGATTTCTATATCTCCCAGATCCTACATCTACTCATGGTAAATGCCTGTGAAACACATTTTTCCCACCCACAGCCATAGACCAACTACAAATTTCCTTCCTCCTCTTCATAACAATTGTCAGTATTTTCCATAGTCCCTTCCTAACGGATGAGGCGCCCCTTCTCCTAGGCTCCAGGTATTATTGACAAGCCTGTGTCACAGAATTACCACATAAAATACAGGAAGTCCAGTTAAATTTGAATTCCAGATAAACAACTTTTTTTTTTAACCATAAATATGTTCCTTTCAACTTGTAGGACATACTTACCCTAAAAAATGATTCATCATTTATCTGAAATTCTAATTTAACCAGCCACCTTGTATTTTAATTTGCTAAATCTGACAAGTCTAGTCATAGTGTCCTGCCTAAACTTCGCCTGAGGCCCCATGTCCTATCTCCAGATGGGCCTCCACACCCAAGACTCCGGATCCTGGGACCTATGTGCCTTTCTAGCAACATCAGCCACAGTTATTACTCTGGCTCTGAGTTTTCTTTTCACATTGAGAACTAGAAGATTTCCCTTACTTTTTTCAATACTGGTTGTAATGGATGGGTGTGGTGGCTCATGCCTGTAATCCCTGCAATTTGGGAAGCAAGGTGGGTGGATCTCTTGAGCTCAGGAGTTTGAGACCAGCCTGGGCAACATGATGAAACCCAATCTCTACTAAAAATACAAAAAATTAGCCAGGCATGGTGGCATGCACCTGTGGCCCCAGCTATTTGGGAGGCTGAGGTGGGAAGATTGCTTGAGCCCAGGAGGCGGAGGTTGTGGTGAGCTGAGATTTCACCATTGCACTCCAGCCTGAGTGACACAGTGAGACCTCATCTCAAATAAAAAACAAACAACAACAACAACAACAACAAAAACCATGGTTGTATATTTTAAATTGCTGCCACATATCATCTAGATTTTCTATGTGACAGTAGTGGGAGAGAAGGCTTCTCCATGTCAGCTAGTCTGCCATGTTGTCAGAAATATTTTAATTACTTCACACCTGCCATCATCCTCCACGTGAGCACTGTACTATGCCATGAAAAAAACTGAAGCACAGAGTGGTGAATTCATCCAAATTAGTTGGAGACAAGGGAATGTCCAGGAACAAGTTCTCCTGACTTGTACTTCAGGGATGCCGCCCAGCTCATTCTTTCTACAGGACGGGTTCTCCAAAGAAAGGCAAACAGTTCCCAGTTTTGGCTAAGGTTGGACTTCCCAAAAACCTGGGTATTCAAGGATTTTCTTTATATTTTTTGGGCACAGGAAGGAAGTAAAATTCTGACTTGCTATGTTTTACCGGGCCAAGTCATAGATGAAAGGCTAGATGATGAGGTTAAAATAGAAAATTATTAACTAGAAAGGGTTGAAACGTCTATTTTAAAACCTTAAATTAGTCAAAACCTAGGGAATGGAAGACATAGAGTCACAGGATGAGAAAATAATGTGGTTTTGTATTGAAATGTTTCAGAGAAAGGCCCCTTTCAAAACAGTTCTAAATAAAGTTCTTGGAACAGAAGAAAACTATTTTGTTTTCACTTTAGACATGGAAAATCCCTTGGACCAGAAATTCCAAAATCCTCTCTACATATTTTCTGATTTTTTTCAATAATTCCACATCCTCTGCATGGTTTCCAGGCAGAGCCTAATTTGGCCTTGATCCTGCATGCACCAAAGATCTCCAATTCCAGCCTTTGACATAATGTCACCATGAAGTTTTACTTTCTGTACCTGTATACTGTGTGTTAAAGGCATCAGTTTGTTCAAGATAAACATTTAAAATCATCACAATTTTTGAAACTCTGTTTCAGCACATCTACACTTACTTCTACATTTTTCTTATTTTTATTTTTAGTATTCCAGACATCTTAAAAATTAATCCATGCCCTGGGCTTTCCACCCACTCTGGCAGGCTCTGCTGCTAAAAATTCACGTTGTATAAGCCTTAAAGAGTATGTGTCCCTCCCAAACAGCTCCCACATGAATATG